AATTTTTTTCGTCGCGCTGTGATGACGTCAAATGCGCGCTTTCGTCGAACGCGATTTTGTCCTCCGCGGTTTTGACGGGTCACGGCAGCACTGACTTTCCTTCTCACTCATACTGGTAGGTGCTAGTGAGTAGCTGGACACTGGTGCTGTATGGAATAAGAAAAAGAGGGGTTGTTTTGGGAGGCAGTGCCTGTTCCTTTGGAGAAATGGGGCTCCATAGCTTAAGTTTTATGGGGCTGTCATGATGCTTTCAGAACCTCTTGGGGCACATAGCTCTTTACAGGAGTCCTAGATTGGTGAGATGAGCCCAACAGATCTTGTAAAACCATCACATGACACTGAGCTGTATATGCCACGAAGCCTTGAGTTCTATGCTTTTTATTTTTCTGTATTTCTTTTCTTTTTCACTTGCAACACCCATTGAAGCTGGACTTTAATCTCTGTCTCCCTTGCAGGCTGAATGATCTGCCTGTGCCTGGCCCTGCCTGACCCCAGGCAACTCCCCAGTGATCATGTGGTGGCTGCTCCTTCCTGTCACCATCGTGGCTGGTGTCCTGCTCTCCTGGCCACCCCCTGTTTGGGGCACCCGTGTCGTCTTCACGGTCACAGACATGGCCCTCACCCATCTGGCTGTACACCATGAGACCGGGGAGGTCTACTTGGGTGCCGTCAACCGCATCTACAAGCTCTCAGCCAACCTGACCCAGATACGGGCTCACACCACGGGGCCAGTGCCGGATGACCCCAGATGCTACCCTCCCCCAGGTGTCCGGCTCTGTGCCCATCGGCTCTCCCCTGCTGACAATGTCAACAAGCTGCTCCTGATTGACTATGCTGGCAACCGTCTTGTGGCCTGTGGCAGCGTTTGGCAGGGAGTATGCCAGCTCTTGCGGTTGGAGGACTTGGCCAAACTAGGGGAGCCTCACCAGCGCAAAGAGCACTACCTCTCGGGGGGCCGTGAACCAGATGCCATGGTCGGTGTGATTGTGGAGCAGCTGAGAGAGCCCAGCCAGTTCTTTGTGGGCACTTCAATCGGAGGACGTTCGGAGTATTTCCCCACGCTCTCCAGCCGTCGGCTCACTCCTGATGCCACCAGCCCAGAGATGTTCAGCCTGGTGTATCAGGACGAGTTTGTGTCTTCTCAAATCAAGGTCCCTTCCGACACTCTCTCGCTTTACCCCGCCTTTGATATCTACTATGTGTCTGCGTTTGTGTCTGGCGGTTTTGTGTACTTCCTCACTTTGCAGCTTGACACCGCTCAGACGCCCCTCGAGCCCGCCGGAGGTCCCGTTGGCCCTGGCGCGACAGGTGGAGAGCGCTTCTTTTCATCCAAGATTGTGCGCCTGTGTGCCAATGACACAGAGTTCTACTCTTATGTGGAATTTCCTCTGGGCTGCTCCAAGGACGGGGTGGAATACCGTCTGGTCCAAGCGGCTCAGCTGGCCAAAGCTGGCCGACAATTGGCCGAGTCGCTGGGCATTGCAGAAGGGCAAGATGTGCTTTACGCCGCCTTCTCGCAAGGCCAGAAGAACAGGGCAGCACCACCCCGGGAGAGCCTGCTCTGCCTTTTCACGCTGGATGAAGTCAATCAACGCATCCGTGAGCGTATCCAGTCATGCTACCGTGGGGAAGGGCGACTCTCTCTACCGTGGCTTCTCAACAAAGAGTTGCCCTGCATCAACACGGTATTACACTATCGAGCATTCTCTGCTTCCTCATTTCCTACCTAATAATTGCCCGTTTCCATTCCTTTCTAAAATAAGAATCCCAGCCATTCCGGCCCTTGAAAATTGCTTTTCGTTTTCTTTGCTCTTGGCTCTTATCTTATCCCAAGCCTGCAGCTCAAACCTGGGAACTTTTGTTTGGGACCCTGTGGTTAATGACATACTTTGATAACTGGGGCACAAATAGTATCTGAGTAATATACACAGACAGGGGGCTTGTTGGATAACACTGTGTACTTAAGTTACTCATTCCCATGTGACGCTGACCCTCGTCTCCCCCTTTTTTGCGTCTTTCTAGCCCATGCAGATCAATGGCAATTTCTGTGGGTTGGTACTGAACCAACCCCTAGGAGGGCTGCAGGTCATTGAGGGACGCCCGTTGCTCCAGGAACAGACCGAGGGCATGGCCAGTGTTGCTGCTTATACCTATCGGGGCCATTCGGTCGTCTTCATTGGAACCCGTGCTGGCAACCTGAAGAAGGTCAGATTTTCTTCCTGGTGCCTGGGAAAGAGCTTGGGGTAGAACCTGAAAAGGATCAGTGGGAGGATGAAGGGGATGATTAAGGGCTGAAACTGATGTTCAACGGCTTTCGCTTCCCCAGTGTTTCTATTTACCTCCCAGTAGAAGGAAAGAAACTTGTGTTTGTCCCCAGCTGGTGACACGGCTCTGTCTCAGTATACGTCGTCATTGTCTGCGCTCTGAGAGAAAGACGAGTAAAGAAACTTCTTTTTTGTTCCTTTATTTGTATGCCGCCCTTTTCCCTGGGGGGGACTCAGGGCGGCTCACAATTCAAAAAGGGAGGGGGGGGGAAAGACAAACAGTATTCCATATGGAAACAATACAACATATTAAAAGAGA